CCTAATTTCCCATGTGTCATCCACATCATTTTAGCTGATCTAATCCCTCAAAATAATCATAATTCACGTGCAAACCATCAGCCATTGACCTCAAGGAGTGTTGACCTCAATTGCCCAATTGATGCACAAGTCACATGCCACCTATGTCACATAAATCACATAATTCAATTAAATAGCATATGATATAATAAAATCTAATTCATGTCCAGAATTAAATTCATAATTAGAAGGGAGAATTTATTAAATTAACCAAGTTTCAGGCTGCACAAAATTATATAAAAATTTCCACACAAAGGCAAACTAAAAACTAGGACAAACTAAGACACTTAAGAAAGTGTTGACTTTTTTATTTAATTACTCCCAAACTAAAATAAATTTTAAAAATATAATTTCACTATTCATCAACTGGACATAAAATGCACTTTTTTAATTTTTCTTGTACATTTTCTCAAATGTTCATTTTTTGGACCAAAATGCCCCTGTGCACTGAACCTAGAAACTTAGGCAAAGTTCCAAATCTAATGCAATGTGTGCACTTGAAGGTGATAAATCATTAATAAAATGGTCTTAATTGACAAATAAAAGTGGGTAACAAATGTGTTCTATCACCTCAAATTCATTTCAATCAATATTTATACCCGCATGTATACTCTTTTATAATGTTGCCACTCTATCAATTCACAACACAATACATATAGTTATACAAAAATACTTGTAAATAATTTCACAAACAAACAAGTAAAAGGGTTATTTTAATTACCTTTAACCCTTGTTACTAAGGGTTACCAATCACACTAAGCTCCAAGAGGTATAGATTCCCACAAGCAATATCAAAGTGCTCAATCTATACAACAAAGTGCCTCTCAGTCAATTCTCAACACTTAGCATAGGTATTAATTCAGCTAAGTCAAATCCCTTAACACACAAAATGATTCAATTAGAACCCCTTTGAATCCATTTATCCATTATTTATAGTTATTAGCCCGATAAGCTACTCAAACAACCATAATAACCTCCTAACTCATTATTTAACTATAATTTTGTCATTAACCTAACTTTTTGGCCATTTTAAGTCTAAATCCTCAAAGCTTAACTATTCAACTTCATACTAATTACAAAATCATAGTTTTGTATTTGATAGCCCATTTTAGACACTTCTTTTAGATTATAATACCTCAAAATTTCATGATTTGATTTTTAACTGATAAAATTTAATGAAAATGGGATAGAAATGAAGTGTAGGGTTGCGTGTTACTTACCTAACAAATCACTAATTGAATCAAACTTCTAACCTTTAGATATTGCTTGCCCTAGTAGAGAAAAACACTTCCTCCTCTCCAAACATGTTTTCCACACTTCTCACTTTTGTTTTCACGAGCTAATCACATCAGCTTTAAGCAATTCCTGCATAACACATTGCAGCATGCAACACAATGAGATCAATCTTGTGCTCATGCATTATGCTTTGAATTGCTATTTCACCATTTAATTCTATCAATATAACATCCAAACAACATAAAAAATCAACTTGACATCTAAACCTTTATCAATCCACTAATCACCAATTTATCCTTGATTAGTAACTTGTCTTCCTGGATTGAAATTCAGGATGTTACATTCAACCCATTTTTAGCTTTAAAGAAGGAACAAGTTGGGCCTTCTATGGAAAATAATAACACAAATTTAATTAAAATAGGAGTGAAGGTCAAGATGGGTTAGGCTTGGAGGATATGGATATTTTAGGTAAAAATGTCCAAGATAAATGGAGTTAGCTTAGTCAAGAACAAGAGGCTGGGTAACCCATAGATTTGCAGAACAAGAAGATATTAGGGGCCTTAAACCCCAGTGACACCTTAATGGTTGATTAATTGATTTCATTTTCTAGAATTTAAGAGGATGGGTGCAAAGTCATTCTCGAACCTCATCAATCAATTAAAAAGATGCATGTACTTGACTTTATGGCTATTCTAGAAACACGATGTAGTGGGGAAAAGGCTTGAAGAATTGTTTCTAGAAATGGTTTTGATGGTTATGATATTGTGGACATATCTAGTGCTTGTGGAATAGTTCAAACCTTTGCATCACTATCATCGAGAAGTCCTTTCAATTCATTCATCTTTGAATTGAAAATATTAAGTGTGAAGCCTGGTGGATGACAATTGTTTATGTGAATCCAAATATGAATTTATGTTGCCTTCTTTAGGCCAATCTCATATGACTCAAAACCTTTATTTAGGGACCTTAGATCATAACCTGCCATTTCAATGCTACCCTTTCATAATGTAAATGATGAACGAAAGCTTCTGATGGTATAGGAATTGACCGTGATTTAACCAGATGGTTTGATGAATGTAACTTAAATGATCTTGGATTCATTAGACCAAATTCACTTAGCATAATGCAAAGAGAAAATTAGATTAAGTTCTAGCTAATATGAAGTAGTTGGATTCGTTCAGGTTAGCTTCTGTGACTTACCTTCCTTTTTTCTCTTTTGACCATTGTCCTCTCCTTCTCCATTTGCATGAGTCAACAAGTGTTCCTCATGCCAAGAGACCCTTTTAGTTTATTGTAGCTTAGGTCTTACATGGTCAATTTAAAAACCTCATTAATAGTAAATGGAAACTTAAAAGATCTTAGGCTAAGCAGATTAGTAGCTTTGCGAAGGACTGTAGGGCTTGGAACAAGGAGATCTTCAATCATACTAAAACATAAAAATGTTGCTTGCTGTCCAAGGAGGTGTCTTGAAAAGCTTTAAGTAGCCTTTTGGAAAGAGCTTGAGTTAGTCCTTATTTAAGAGAACATTATATGGATTCAAAAAGCTAAGTGAAATTGGGCTCTCTTAGGTGATAAAAATACTCGATATTTTCATAATGTGGCTAATAGGCGCAGGAAGATTAACCAAGTAGGATCCTTAAAATGAAATGATGGTGAGTGGTGCTACAAGGAAAAGGAGCTAAAAACATGGTAACTAGATACTTTGCCATCCTGTTCAAGGAGGAATCTTTCTCGTGTTTGAAACTTGACTCCAGAATTAATTTTCCTCTTTTGGAAGAAGATGATTTGCACACATTTGGATGGACAGTGGAGGACATAGAAATTCATTAGGCTCTCAAATCTATAGGAGCAATGAAGTCCCTTGGACCTAATGGGTTTTGAGCCATCTTTTATTAAAGTTAATGGTAGGCAATTGGACCTTTTGTTACCTCTTGTATTAAATGCATGTTTGAGAACTCAAGCTGTATTAAGGACCTTAATGATGCGTTTCTGTCACACTCAAAAAATGCAACGCGGATGGCACGAGAGCGGATGTCCTGGCCTTTACGGTGGGAACTGTATGGAATGGGGATTTACCATTAAGATTTTGATGGAAATCTTAGAAACCGATTAATGGAAGGTAAGGGTCGTTTGCGAAATTAGAGAATAGGTTCGAGAGTTAATTGAGTATGGGGAAGGTGTTAGGCACCTCACAACACCTGTTCGTCAGAACGGTTACCTAAAGTTTATTGTACTATATTAATATAGTTTTAAAATTATTTTAATTATTCCTTTTATATTCATGTGTTTAATATAAAAATGGTAAGAATTAGATGAAAATTTTTTATTTATTTATGAGGGAGAACTTGACCAGAATTTGACTTTGAGGCCTACGTACCCTGTGATGAGGATCAAAGTCCATGTAGTTCTGGCTTATAAGTTTGTTGGTGAAAATATTTTTTTTGAAGAGAAATTAATCAAAAATAATTCACAATTTTGCAAATAAAAAATTTTCTAAAATTTTGATACGTGTGTTTTAAATTGCAAATTTAATTTTAATTATTTTCTATATTTTTAAATTTTTGGAATAAAGAAAAGAAAAGAGTTTAAGAATTACTTTTTATTTTTATTTTTTATATTTTATGATCGAGAATCTAACTGCTATACCTGCAGAGCCTTATTGGCTCATACAGTAACACAATTATTCTTTATATCTATGGAGAATCCAAACTCTCATACGATAAAAGAGTTTAACAACTTAGTTTATTTACTTAAATTTTTAAATATTAATAATATCATTATTTTTTAGTGCATTCATACATATATACTTTTTTTTAAAGACTCTTAATCATCATACCTACGAAGCCTTATTGACTTTTACGGTAATAAGATTATCCTAAATATCTACAGAGATTCAAAATCCTCACACCATAAAGGATCAAATATTATATATTTTAATGCGTAATTATACAATTTACAATTTTAAACATAAAAATCTTAATCACTATACTTGTGAAGTCTTATTGACTTTCACGATAAGATGATTATTCTAAAGGTCTATAGACATTCAAAAATCTCATATGACCAAAAGATCTAATTAGACAACATGATTATAATTTATATTTATTAATTTAATTAATTAATAGTATAAAAAATGTTTATTATTTTTTACAAAATTCATATAAATTGAGAATTGTGATATCTGTGAGGATTTATTATTCTACATGGTAAGACAATTAATTTAATTCTCTACAAAGATTCTTAAAATCTCATGTGAGACTTACAAGATTGACCCTCATACCTGCAAAATTTTACTGATTTTCATGATATAGAATCATTTTAAATTTAAATGTTTATAAGGATTCTTGAAATCTCACATTGCAAATAGATTTAAATATTATACATTATTAAGAATTTTACAACCAACAAATAGTTGTGAAGTTCACAGTCGGAATAATTTCAATGATAGTCTAAAATGTGCAAAAGGAAAAGAATTCAAAAAAAAAAAAACACAACTTAGTACAATGCCACACAAATTAATCATATAATCTATACAAATTTTAAAATTGCCTAGTTACTCTATTCATTGTGTAGATTAAGCTTTGAAAAATGAACAAAAAGAAATCATTACCCATTTGAAACTGAGCCATTACTCTCCGCTTCATCACCTTTCATCTTCACCCTGTTGTATGTGTAACCTAGCTTCTTCGAGTGCTAAATCAGTTGTTGCTTCTCCCTCTGAATCTTCAATCATTTAGCATCCTCTGTCCTTGCTCCTTGTTCATTATCTCAAGTTGAATGTAGTAAAGGGAAATGACAACAATTCCAAGCCAGGAATGCAAGCTGTACAGACTGGCAATCCTACTTTCATTATCGTACTTGAAGGTGCAATAGATTCCAATGATTCCAAGTGCTATTGTGATAGCGTGCAAAACAAGATGTATCAGCTTCTTCAACTCTTTCTTCAATGCAAGAGATTTGTAACTTATAATGGTAAGAAAATGAACGACGAACGTGAAAGGAAGGGCAGGCACAACCAATGCCATATTTAGTGCCCTCTTTCTTAATTTGTTTATCTATTCTGTAGTCTCTGAAAGAGAACAGATTCGGTTCCTATCCCATTCTTTAAACTCTCTCCTCTGTTTTTTTTCCATCCTCTCTCCATCTCTGTCACTCTCTTACTCTCTGTCTTTCTTTTTTTTTTTGTTTCTCTTTTTAACTCTCCCTCTCATAGCTTCTCTCTCGTCCGTTTTTTTCACGCTCTTTCCTTCTGTGCTCTATTTTCTGCTGCATTTTCTCCTCCCTGTTTCTCCCTCTTGGTCTCTCTCTTTTTTTCTCCTTCCTCTTCTTCTTGGTGCTCTGTTTCTCGTGCTCTTTATCTCTGTCTAGGCTTCTCGTGCTCTTTCCTCATTCTCGGTCTCTCTTTTGATCTCAGCCTCTTCTGCTACTTCTTCACCATCTTCATCTAGTCTTTTTTGTCCTTCTCAGTTCTCTACTGTCTCGTCGTGCACGTCTCTCTTTCTTGTTATATTTTGTGCATATAGATGGGAGAGAGCATCTCACGGCTGAAAGTCCTCCCTTTTGTTCTTCGTGCATGCATTTTTAGAGGGAAGGCCTCATGCCTGCATACGTATGCTTCCCCCCTCTTTTGGTCTCTCTTTTCTTCCTTTTATCTCCATCTCACTCTCATTACTTTTGTGCTCTGTTTTTTTCTCTTTTTTTGTACGTCACTGTGCTCTTATTTTTTCTCTTTTCTGCTACTTGCATCGTGGCCGTAGCTTGCTTTCAAGGTCTTCTCTACTTGTGTTTCGTGTCTACATGCTGTTGCATCTGGATGTGTGTTTTTTTGCTCTCCATCTTTTCTGCTCATGTGAGTATGTCTGCTCTGCTTTCTGCTCTCCTTCTGTGTTTCATGTGTGCTGTTTCTATTTTGTTTTTTTTTTGTTTGAGCTGTAACGTGCGCACGAATAAAGGACTAAACTTAGTTTGTATATTTTAATTTTTAATAAATCTCTTTTTAATCATGTTTATTAATTTTAAAGATTGGATTAAGGGACTTAAAAATCTGATTTTGAATTAAACAAATATATATTTTTTCAAAATATAATCCTAAAAAGGATTAATTTTTTTTTATATTTTTATATTTTTTTAGTTATTTTAACGAACTAAAAGAAATAAAATCTTAATCAATAAAAGATTATCTAGGATAAAATAAAATTAAACTCTATTAATTATTTTTTTCAAAATGTACTCCTAAAAAGGATTAATTTTTTTTTTGTATTTTTATATATTTTTTGGTTATTTATTATTATTTTTTTTAAATTTAAAAAAAATGCCCGAACAAAATACGGTGTTCACAATTTCTTATGTTGATCCCTAAAAAAGATCCCCCTGAAGGTGTGCATGATCTATGTTTGATAAGCCTTTGTAATGTCATTTTCAAAATTATGACTAAAGTTATTACTTATAGAATGAAGTCTTGTATGCCTTGGATTATCTCCCCTAATTAATGTAGCCTTGTTCCCGAGAGACATAGCTCTAATAATAACATTATGGCCCAAGAGATGATTCATTCAATGCATACTATGAAAGGAAAGTAAGGTTTTATGGCTATCAAAATTGATCTTGAGAAAGCATATGATCGAATTAATTGGTCGTTCCTAAAAGAATGCTTACAAAGTCTAAACTACCTAAATCACATGGTGTAAGTCATAATGCAATATGTCAATTCTCTGTCTTTGTAGCTTCTTTAGAATAGGAAGAAGTCTGATTCCTTTACTCTGTCAAGAGGTATTAGACAACGTGACCTGATGTCTCCTTATCTTTTTGTCATTTGCATTGAGAGACTTGCCCACCTCATCCAATAGAAAATTGATAATATATATTGGCTCCCAATTCAAATTGGTCACACAAGTCCTCTAATATCCCATCTATTCTTTGTGGATAATGATATCATCCTTTTTATAGAAGCTTCCATAAGCCAGGTGGATGTCATTAATGATTGTCTTATTCATTTTTGCAACAGCTCAAGTATGAAAGTTAATAATGCCAAATCTTGCATATTTTTCTCATGTAATGTTTTTACTAGACATGAAGAGATTGGTTCTCTTTTGGGTTTTATGAGGACAACTGAAATAGGAAAATATATTAAGGTCCATCTTCATTCCAAACTAGTGGGCAAAGGAACTTTTGTAGATGTGGTTAACAAGGTTAAAAGAAGATTATCTAACTGGAAAATTCACTCCTTTTTGCTAGCTAAGCGGGCAACTTTGATTCAATCTGTGAGTTCTTATATTCCTTGTTAAACTATGAAAATTGACTTATTACCCATTCATACTTGTAAGACTCTTGGCAAGAAAAATAGAGATTGTCTTTCGAGAACGACTGTTAAGAACAAAAAGGTCTACCTAGTTTCTTGGCACGATGTCTGCAAGGGGGTTAAGGTTACAACAAGCTAGATATCAAAAATTCAAAATCAAGCTTTTTCTTATGAAACTTGGCTAGCAACTTATGACTACAAGAGAATCTTTATGGGTCAAAGTTGTTAGAGATAAATATAAATGTAGAAATAACTTAATTCCACATATCGAGAAGGACTGTCTCGGTTTTAACACTTGGGCTGGAATTAAATGAGTATGGGATAAATTCAAAGAAGGAACTAAATTAGTTAATGGTGATCAAAGTGTACGTTGCAATGGGAAATAGATGGAACCTTTTCAGTAAAGTTTGCTTATAATAAGATTCGAGATAGTAATTCCAATAAAAATTACTGATGGGCGAGTCTTTGGAAATTGAAAGTCTCATAAAGATGCAAATCATTTATGTGGCTTGTCTTCCAAAATTGACTATTCACTAATATGGCGAGACAAATAAGAGGCATCTAAAGAGACAGATTATATTCTTTATGTAAAGACAACAATGGAAGCATGCTTCATGTTCTTCATGACTGTCTCCTTGTTGTTAGTTATGGGTGCAAAGTAGTCAATATAAGAAAACAGTCTGATTTCTTTAGGCTAAACTAGGATCAATGGCTGAAGTGGAACTTTAGGGATACTAACTTGACAAAGGAGTGGGGATGGGCAGTGAAGTTCACAATTTACTTTTAGACCATATGGAAAGGAAGGAATGAATGTATTTTTGATGGTAAGAATATCTTACTAAAGCACTGTTTCCTCAGGTGCATGCTATGCAATAGAGTATGAAGGTTATTCAGTCAAGGTTGGCAAAAACCAATCTCATGAGGCTAATAAAGCCTCAAAGACAATCGAGATAGAGACATCCTCTAAAGGGTTAGGTCTTTTTAAATCTAGATGGTGTAACATACTTAAATTTTAAAGATAATTATTTAAGCCTAAAAAGAATAAATAAGTGCATGAGTGAGGTGTGTGGCCAGAGAGATCTAACGGGTGTGTTTGATTATAATTTCAACCCTAAATAGGGTCCAAAGTGAATTCAAGTCACTCAGACATAAAAGAGGAAGAAAAATAAAAGGGTAAGATTATGTACCACACACCACGACTTGTGCATAAGCTATCGTGGCACATGTGTGCTGATATGCCTAAGGAGATGCTCTTTGTGCCATGCGTGTTGCCATGGCATATGGCCACTTTTATGCAAAAATAAGGTCACAAAAATGGTGCAGAAAAAAAGAGAAAAATAAAGATACATGAAGGAGCAACTGAAGAGCTATGTTAGGGCTTGGGAGACTTGAAGATTTGAGATGTTTTAGAGCTCATAAACATTAAAGATAAGCTTCTCAAGCCTAAATCTTCCTACCTTCTTCCATTTCCTTGATGTCAAAAGCTAGAGTTTGGTTGAAAATGATGATTTTTGGTCCATAGAGGCTATGAGTCTAAACTTATTAACTTAAATACAGTTAATGAAAATTGTTTGAGCTATTTAACACTACTACAAAAATAGGCTTATTTGACCCTCATTTTTGACCTTATTTGATGATTATTAACCATCAAATGTTTAGGCACCATATAAAGTTTTGATCTTTATTTAACGGTTAAAAACGGTCAAATAAAATCTCTTTACTTGACGGTTGTCTCCAACAACCATCAAGTAAAGTCAAACAACCATCAAGTAAAGAGATTTTATTTGACCCTTGTTTAAAATAAGCATTAAATAAAACTATTTTATGTGACATTTGTGTTAAACAAGGGTCAAATAAGATCATTTTATTTGACGCTTCTTTAAAATAAGGGTCAAATAAGTTATTATTGTTTTTAATTGAATATAGCAATTATTTTTAATTAATTTCATCTATTAATTTTTTTATTTTTAATATTCATTATGATAGACACCATAATCATTATTAAATAATAGAAAGAAATAATATAAAATAAAAATATTATATTTATAGAATTCAAAATCCAATACATATAAGCATCATACAATTTACAAGATGTTAATCACTTGAGTGCTACTTATACATACAAAAGAACATTATCCTAGAAATTTTTGAATTATAAAAAAATATATTAACAAAAATTTATAAGATAATTTCAAGTTCTTGGTTAAGCACCATAGCCTAAGCTCCTTAGTTTGCATTTGCACCCCCATCTGCAAAATTCAAAATGAAATTTAAAATAGTTTCATAATATGGATTTGCTTGTTGCTCTCTATATATAAGCAATAAATTGTACTAGACAACAACCCATATGCAAACAAAATAAGAATCAAATGCTTTACCCAAAAAAAAAAACCCAAATGCCAGTATGTTAGTTTAAAAGAAACTTGAACTTCAAATAGACACACACACCTATGCTTCATATAATTTGTCTTAAACTACACTTGTTTATTTCATTTGGACAACCTTCTAGTCCCATAAAGCTGCGTTTTTAAGTATAAAGACAATAGGTTCCATAGAAGTCAATAACAGTGTAAACTCTAAACTAGCCTGATGGTGTTATAGCCAAAAATAAAATGCAAAAAGGAAAGTATGCAAGCATAAATTAGGACATAAATGAACAAAAGAGATTATTTTTTGACAAAAGAAACAATATTCAAAGAGTTTAAATACCTCACATTTAGCCGATCC